TCCACACGGCGGGCCCTGTGGGCTCCCTGCGCCCTCTGTCCCGACTGCAGCTGAAGCCAGAGGTCCTCAGCCACCCGGAGCAGTTCTCTGCGATCTACTCGGCACCCCCCTTCATCGTGCCTGGCGGGCGCTTCGTGGAGTTCTACTACTGGTGAGCAGCCAGGCCTGCAGGGCGGGAGTCGGGGAGCCCGGGGCCAGCGGGCTGTCCCGAGCACAGGGGGGCACCCTGACTGGCCCGGGTGCACAGGCCGGTGCGCGAGCTGTCCGTTTCCCCAGGGACTCCTACTGGGTGATGGAGGGGGGCTGCTCCTCTCTGAGATGCCCGGGACGGTGAAGGGCATGCTGCAGAACTTCCTGGACCTGGTGTGGATGTAAGGGGGGGCGGGCCCCTCAAGGCTGGGGCGGAGAAGGGGGTGCCAAGGACTTGGCGCTGGATTGGCCTTGGCCTTCGCCGCTGGGCAGACGCACCTCAGCCCGCGTCCTTCCTGGCAGCTACGGACACGTCCCCAACGGGGCCCGCGTGTATTACCTGCAGTGGAGCCAGTCCCCCCTCCTGACTCTCATGATGGACTGCTACGTGACCCACACCAACGACACCGCCTTCCTCCGGTGGGCCCCCCAGCCCCCCTGCTGCCCCGCAGGCCGCCCTACCTGGGACCTCCCAGGGTGCGACTGAGGGGCCGTGCCTGGCTCCACCCCAGGGACAACCTCGGGACCCTAGCCTTGGAATTGGACTTCTGGATGGAGAACAGGACCGTCTCTGTGAGCTCGGGTGGGAAGAGCTACGTCCTGAATCACTATGCTGTCCCTTATGGGGGACCCAGGTAAGGAGCCGCCTGCCAACCTCTCGGTCTCTCGCTATTCACTCTGGTCTGAGGGCCATGACTTAGCCCTGCCTCTCGGATGCTGATACTGAAAGCCGTGGGCAATCCAGGGCCCACGAAGGGCAATCCAAGGGCAGTTGAAGCAACATGGCTTAGCCTCCAGCTTGCACTTAGAGGGCTCCTAGTGCCAGGATGCCCACTTTCATCTTCCAGGCCAGAGTCTTACAGCAAAGATGCTGAGCTGGCAAACACATTGCTGGAAGGTGAGCAGTAACAAGGTCAGGGATCGGGGTGGGGCTGGGAGCCTGGTGTTGGGTGTCAAGCTCTGGCTCCCCCTTCCCCTGCTGCTTTGTCCTCCCAGGGGACCGGGAGGCTCTGTGGGCTGAGCTCAAGGCTGGAGCTGAGTCTGGATAGGACTTCTCTTCACGGTGGCTTGTCGGAGGCCCAGACCCTACATGTCTCAGCAGCATCCGGACCAGCAGATTCGTGCCTGTTGACCTCAATGCCTTCCTGTGCCAGGCAGAGGAGCTGATGAGCAACTTCTACTCCAGACTGGGTGAGCCAGCAGGAGGGGCGGCTTGGGTCCTACTTCAGCCTTGGCCATGGAGCTGGGAGTAGGACCCTGAGTGAAGGGCCTCCAGCCTCCTAGCCCGCCACGTGCCTCACCCCTAGGGCAAGAGTACACATGGAGCCCACTCTCTCCCCTCCCCCTCCCTTTCTTACTGGGAGGGACTACTAGGGTCTGTGAGAGGACACCTGAGTCCACACAGTCAAACTCCCTCCATTGTCTCTCCCCAATTGCCCTCGGACCTGTCGGAGCTCGAGAAATACACATGGCCAGTGCCCACCTAGGACGGACCCGGGAGCAGGCCAGTGCGGGTCCTGAGAGCCCTACAGGGCCATAGCTCAGCAACTCCTAGCTCCTAGAGGCCAGAAATATGGGCTCCAGGTCTGCATGTTCCCTTGGTGTCAGGACTTCTAGCCCTTGGGGAGGACAGCAGGAGGAGGCCAAGGTTGACCTCTTCCTTAAAGGCATGGGACCCAAGGCCAGGCACCCCAGTTGCTCAGCCTAAAGACAGTGTCACCCCAGGGAACGACATCCAAGCCACAAAGTACAGAAATCTGTTGCAATAGTGCTTGGCTGCCATGAGAGCCATCCTGTGGGATGAAGAGAAAGGGGCCTGGTTTGACTATGACCTTGAGAACGGAAAGAAGAACCTAGAGTTTTACCCATCCAACCTCACTCCTCTCTGGTCCGGCTGTTTCTCTGACCCGGACGCCGTAGACAAGGCCCTAAAGTATCTGGAGGTGAGGGGGGCAGCAGAGCGGGCTGGTATACTGGGGGCAGGACCACCTGCTCTCTCCCTGAGTCTGAACCAGGGACCTCTGGCAAGTGGCAGCCACCCCCTCCTGCCCCACCTCTGGGTCTGAGCCTGCGGGTCCCGCTGGAGCCACCAGGGGGCAACTGTGAGCCAAGAAGACAAAGCCCAGGAAGGGGGACATCTGGCTTGAGGAGGACCCAGCCTCTTGGCTCCTCATCCAGCCCCCACCCACAGTCCTAGAAATGTCTGGAACCTTCTAGGACAGCCAGATCTTGACCTACCGGTACGGGATCCCGACCTCCCTCCGGAAAACAGGCCAGCAGTGGGACTTCCCCAATGCCTGGGCCCCCCTGCAGGACCTGGTCATCAGAGGTAGGGAGTAGGGAGGTGGGGATGGGGCATATCCCAGGGCCATCCCCCCTTGCATCTGGAGGGTCCGCCCCCTGGTCCTGGGGAGGTGTGAACAAAGCACGTGGGGTCTTTCCCTGGCTCTTCTGGTCTCTTGGCTTCCCACTCAGCCCACCTTTGATAGAGGGAACCAGCCCTCCTTTCTCCCTCCAAAGCCAGGCCCTGGGGAAGGAGCACATTGGCTTTTCATGTGACTCACGATGGAGGTCTTAGGGCCCGGGCCTCTTTCCCTCCTTGAGGAGAGTAAGGCTCTGGCCATCCCAGGGGACTCAGGAGATTCAGGGTCCTGCCTGGGGTGGGGTCTAGGTCTGGACAGTCTTCTCCAGGAAGTGGCTTTCCAGCTGGCTCAGAATTGGATCCGAACCAACTTCGGGGTCTACTCCCAAAAGTCAGCCATGTTTGAGAAGGTGAGCTGCTCCTGAGCCCAGAGCCTCCTGGGCTCCTCCCCATGGTGAGCTGGGGGGATGCCAGGCTTTGCCAAGCCCAGGGACAGTGGTGACGCCCGGTGGCCATTCTTGGGCACTGCAGGGGTCAGAGCTGCAGGCCAGAGCAGCTTCTCCCAAAGGGGCTCCCATCTCTTGCTCCCCCTGGAGGGCTGAGGTGGGGGGCCTGGGGGTGGTGTCCCACCTTAGAGCCTGTCCTGTTGTTCCCAGTATGACATCGGCACCGGTGGTCAGCCAGGTGGTGGAGGGGAGTATGAAGTTCAGGTGAGTGGGCCCACATCCTACTGGGAACCCCAGGGCTGGCTGTGTTGTCCCCACAGCTGGCCGTGACCTCCCCTGTCTGGGCCTCTGTTTCCTCCCACGTATGTGGGTCCCCAGGGAGGAGGCTGACTGGAGCTCCTTGGCACCCCTGGGGCTGGGCAGTTCTCGAGCCTCTGGGTGGGGATCTCACAGCCCCTAAAAGGATTTGGGGCCTTCCCCAGAGATCTTGCCCCACTGACCCTGTCTCTCTCCAGGAGGGCTTTGGCTGGACCAGTGGAGTGGTCCTGATGCTCCTGGACCGCTATGGTGACCGGCTGAGCTCGGGGACCCAGACAGCTTTCCTGGAGCCCCCCTGCCTCACGGCTGCCCTTCTACTACTCAGCCTCCTGCCGCAGTGATGGGCCTCCCTGCCCCGTCTGCCTCATTAAACTTCTGCGTGAGTCCCTACCTTCGCCTGCCTCTTCATCTTCCATCCCCCACCCCCAGCCAGTCCTTGGAGTGGGGTCAGGGGAGGGACCTAGAAGTCATGGGTTGGGCCCTTGTCCCTCCTGGAACATCAGTAAGGGGGACGTCCTGTTTTGTGGGGACACAATCCCATACCCCATGCAACCTGGCCTCCCAAACATGTAGTCCAAATGCTTTATTGTTCTGTTGAGATGCTTACAAATACTGAACATCACCCAGCCCGGGGCCCAGCAGCCATGGCCCAGTGGTGGGCAGGGAGGGGGGCTTAGTGTTAAGGCATGAAGGGCCGAGGCCAGACGGCTGGTGGCCTGGTCCTCTGCTCCCCATTTCTGTCACCCTTCCGAGGCTGAAGGGAGGGCAGCCAGACCTGAGGGTCCTCTCGCTCTGCTGCCTCCTCTCCCGCTCAGGTCCCCCCTGGGGGCGTCTGAGCAGCCCCCCACCCGTTAGACACTCAGCCTGTACAGAACCCGTCTAGCCGCCTCCCCCAGCCGCTTCCCTCCTCCAGTCTCTGGATGTCCGAGCTTCGTCCCTTCTGGCTCTAAGCAAGGCACGAGTGGAAGGAGAGGGCTGGACTGGGGGGCCGGCAGGGAGCGGGGGTTTGGTCCCTTCCCCCCCAGCTGGAGAGATGGCGGTACGTACCCTCAGATGGGCCCACGGTTGAAGCATGGGCGGAGCCACAGCCATGGGTATGTGACCATGGCGATGAAGCAGTCACTATGGAGATCAGGGGATGGGGTTGCAACCTCAAGGCTGATGTTTGAGGTCTCTGGCCCTTGAACAAAGTAATAACAAAATTGCGGGGGAGCGGGATTTGAGAAGTACACCGCCTGAGCTGTTCCCCCACTCCGGAGGTGGCTCTCCTCAGCCCCCAAGGCCCCTGCAACGGGGGGCTGAGGCAAGAGGGGATCTTTGGCAGATTCTGGTACCATCATTTGTCCTTTGAGAAAGCGAACACAGGCTGGGGAGCGCAGGTGCCAGGTCAGAGCTCGAGGCCCCCTCTGTGCCAGTTCCGCAGCCTGGCGCAGAATCCTGAAGGGTTATTGCAAATTCTGAGTTCCCGGGAGCCTCCCCACTTTTTAACTGCTGTCTGGTTCTTTAGGGGGCCTGAGCTCAGACATTCACAGGACCCACTCAGAACAGTACCAAGGCTTGTACAAGGGCTTTGGGAGCACTCCTGCGCGGCCTGGGGCCCAGGCTGCGGCTCTTCTCCAGGGGCCGAGCCGAGCAGCAGGTGGGCCGGCCTGAGGGTCCAGAGGCCCACGCCATGACTGGTGTGGTCAGTTCATGAACTGAGTGTAGCCCTCAGCTCCGGTGACGATGACATCCATCCAGATGCGCATGGCCTCTGCGGACGGCGCCACCATGTAGTACAGCCGGTCATGGGTCTTCACACAGAAGGTGAGGGCTGGGTTCGGGCTCTGCCCCGGGACAGAGGAAGGTGTAAGACAGGGCTCCTCTCTGACGTTCCATCTGCCCTTTGCCCTCCCTGGCTCCAGGGTGCCCTGGAGCTCGAGACTGAGTCCCAAACAGGCCCCAAACCTAGGCCCCACCCGTCAAGGGGGCCCCGGGCCGAGATGTTCCCCTCCTCACACCTGGGCCGTCCTTGGACCCTGGCAGGGCCCGTACCCTGCCATGGGGGCGGGGGGGGGGGGGGCGCTCCATTTCTGGGCACCCCTGGGCACAAAAGTATCAACAGAATCAGACACAGAGGGCCATTCCAGTGAGGACCCAAACCTCCTCTCGGCACCAGAGGGGCAGATGGAAAAAGCCGCGACTGGGACGCTGGGCCCAGGACCCCAGGGGGGCAGAGATCAGGGCGGCGGCGGCACCAGAGGCTTGCAGGGAGGCTGCTTTGCATGAGGGCAGAGGGCCCAGGCTTCAAACGTGCCCCCTTTATCACTCCCGTCAGCCCAACCCCGTCCCTGAGAAGCCCTTCCTCCCCCCCTCAGCCATCCCTTTGGCGCCGCCCGCCTCCCCACAGGCCTGCTCTCCTCTCAGGAGAGGGGGCAGCGAGCCCCTCAGGGGCTCCCTGCAGCCCCCGCTGCTGCTCCCTCAGGCCCGGGGAAGGGGGCTGGAGGGGAGAGTAAAGGGTCAGGGGCCAGGAGGGGCCAGGAGGGGCCAGGAGGCATTAATGTGCAGTAGTTCTGGTTACAGGGAGGTGGGGAGGGGTACCTCAGTCACCACAGGGAAGCTGAAAAACCTCTTCTGGGAAGGGGAGAGGGAGAGAGCGAGAGAGAGTTTACAAAGAGGCCGAGGGAGGGGTCCAGGACTCGAGAAGACAGGCTGCTGGGCCCACCCCTTCCCCTGCAGCCCGCCCTCACCTTGGCCGCACTGCGCAGGTGGTCATAGTACACTTCCTCGATGGCCTGGAAGTAGATGACCCCCTTCAGCTTCGTCTCATGCTTGTCTGCAAAGAAAATAGGGCCGGGCTGAGGAGGCCCACCATCCCTCAGGCGAGGGGCCACCGATGGAGCTTCCCCGTCTGGGAAAAGGGGCTGATTCCCAGGACTTCAAAACAGAGCCCAACAGGGAGCCCTGAAGACATGGCCCGTGCTCAGCCTTGCTCAGAATCAGAGAATGCAAATTAGAACTTCACTGAGATACCACTTCGCACCTATCAGAAGGGCAAAAATATGCAAAAAATAAACATGCTTTGGGCAGGTTTATGGAGAAACAGGTGGGCTAACAGATGACAGGTGGGGTATACAGTGGTGAACCCTTCGGGAGGATTTGGCCAAGTCTACCAGAATGAGAAAGGTGTTTGTCCTTGGAGCCAATGATTACACTTACGAACATTTACCTTACAAATAACAAACTTACGTGATTGTTCACCACAACGATATTTGTAGTTTGGAAACAAACCAACTGTCCCTCAAATAGAGATTGGTTAATAAATTAGAGTTTAGCACAGGATGGGATACTAGACCTCTGTTAAATGATAGAGAAATACCTCATAGGGGTAGGGTAGAAAAAATACATATAGATTCAGAAATACACCCTTCAAATGTATCTGATATATTTGCTATAGAAAGATCTGATCTAATAGCAGTAAAACAACATATCGTATGCCATTTTTTGTGTAAGAAAAGGAGTAAAAATCTCTGCATTTGTTTACATTCTAAAGAAACTACAAGGGTACGCAAGAGATTAATAAAAAACAGTTACCTGTTGTGAGTAGGAGCATAATTCTCAATGTAAACCCTCTTATGTGTTTTGATTTTTGAACTGTAGGAGTGCATTTACCTATTCAAGTCTAATAGTAAAAACCAGAAGGAAGGATGTCGCATCTGGAGGCCGGTGGGGGGACAGGAAGGAGCAGGGCCGACAGCAGAGGTGACCCAGCCGGTGGGAAGGGATAAGGCACTGCCAAGGGAAAGCCCAGGGCCTGGGCCGTCTCGTGGCAAACACTGCTCACAACCGAAAGGTCACACCGTCAACTAAGCTCAGACGGTGACAGCTGACAGGCTGCCCTTGGGGTGCACCCTCACCCCCGTGTCATTTCAGGCCTGAGTCCCTGAGCCGAGAGCTACGGCCTCCTCCCGTGCCCCCGCCCCACCCCCTGCCCCTTCAACTCCCCTTCCCTAAGGACAAGGTGGTGAGCTTCCTCAAGCAAATCGAATCCTGCTGCCTCAGCCCGCCAGCTTCTCTGCTGCTCCCTCACTGGGACCCTGCTGCCATCTTGGCTTGGCAAAGGCTGTTTACAGGCCACCACCCACACCGCCCTCTGGTCTGGTCTCACGTCCTTCCCCGGCACCAGCCCCAAGTTCTCTCCGGCCAGGCGGAGCTTCTCCCGGGCCCTTCACTGTGGGCTCTGTGTACACTGGAATGGTCTCCATTCCCCTGGCAAACTCCTAAGTGGTCTTCAAGACCCACTGCGAATGGGACCACTGTGGTGCCCGGTCATGCGCTCCTGGGCTCCCACAGCACGGACGTCCCTCTGTAGAGCTGACCCTGCTGAATCTGAGCCCTCCTCTGCCCGTGCACAGGTCTACCTCCTCCAACAGCAGCAACTATGTGCCTAGCGCACAGTAGGTTCTCAGTGTTGAATCAGTGAGTCCGAGGCACTGGCGTCACCGGAAATCAGAGATCCTTCTCTTAGGAACCTATCCTCTAATGGGGAGGAAAGCACACACATCTGGGCGTTTATGAGCTACGCGACCTTGGGCATGGCTGGGAACGGCAAGGGCGCATCTACACGTCCGAGGCAGTCATGAGAAGCAGGTGGTTGGCACAGCGTCTGGCACCTGCCGGAGCCTCTATAAGGGTTCTATATGACAGAGGGCAGGACCCGTTCCCGGTGAGGCAGGGCCAGGGAAGGCTTCGCAGACGCTGTATCTGACCTGGACCCCGTAGAATAGAGGGGTTCCACCAAGTTAGTGGGAGGAGGGTCCAGGCCAGGGCAGGGAGAATGGCAAGTTCAAGGCAGAAGCAGGCAAGTCACATCCAGGGCCCCGATCAGGCCCCCGGCCCATCTCCATCGGACACTTGCGCTTGGGACAAGGATGCAGCCCCACCCTGCTTCCCTCCCAACAGCAGCTCCTTCCCAACTCTTCCTTCGCTGGAAACCACATCAGCTCCAGCCCCCACTTCCTTACCACCCACCTCTCCTCATCTTTTGCTGTCTGGCTCCCACCCTGGCCGGAAGGGCCTCTGGGTCCACATTATTCTTGGCCTTTCTGCAGTGTCCCTCATCGCTGGCGACACTCCCTGCCTGCAAATGCCGGCTCCTCTGGCTGGCTTCCCTCCCCGTTTCCGCCCCTCCGTAGAATGTGATCTTCATTTCACTAACCCTCAGGAAGCTCGTGAATGCCCAGCGCCAGCGCAGCACCTGGCCTGTGGCTTCCCACCTCCTGCCCTCCCCCTTTGCCAGCCCCTCCTCCTCCTCCTCCTTCCCCAGGGTTCAGCCCTTTCCCTCTTCTCTGCTCTGAAGTCCAGCCGCCTGGGTTCAGTTTTAGCTCAGCAGCTTAGCAGCTGTGAGACCTTGGGCAATTTACTTAACCTCTCTTAACCTATGTTCCTCATCTGTAAAATGGGTATAAAATAGTGCTTCCCGCACAAGATGATGATGAAAAGTCAACGCGATGATGCATGCACAGTGCATAGCACAGCACCCGGTTCATGCAGTGCTCAGTGAGTATGATTTGCCATTACTATTACTCCAGCACAATCAACTTTAACCCTGACCTTTCTCCTAAACTTAGGTGCCCCTGGGGCACTTCAACCTCAACATGCCTAAAATGGAATTCTTCTCCCCAGGCCTGTTTCTCTCAAATGCCCAGAAAGTCCCTTCCAGCCCAGGTGGAAACATGGGGACACATGGGCCCCTGCCTCTCCTGGGATGCACAGCCAGGGCCCAGGCAATCAGGGAAGGCTTCTTGGAGGGGGTGAAACTTGGTTAGGGACCAGGTTAGATGGGAGGCAGGCACTCCAGGCTTGGGTGTCTCTGCCACCAGACACTTAGGCCCTCTCCTTCCAGGCTCTGAACAGGATTGCTCTCCCCGGCTTTATGGTTAGATGGAGCTGGGTGACTGCCTGAGCAGCCCCACTAGTGACCTGAAGACAGACCCCAGCCAGGGCATTTAATGCCCATGCAAGGCGCAACTGGGCTTCTCGTTACTCTCTGCCACTGTGGCCTGCAATGTTCTAAAAATGCATGCTCTCGAACAAAGGGAGCACTGACGCAGAGGGGAGCAGAGCCCCCACCAACCCACAGGGTACACGGACTCGTAACTGGTGAGAAAGGAAACTGCGGTTTCGAGCCACTGGGATCTCAGGATTGGTTGTTCCGCAGCACACCCTGGCCTCTCCCGACCTGCGTGCCACACAGCATCCTGCACTCGGCGTGGGGACTGTCCAGAGGGAACTCCAGGGACGGGCAACTACGCTGGAGGCAGGGTGGAGAGCAGAGGGAGCAGGACGCGCCAGGGGGCCTGTCCCCGGGGCTGCCCCGAGCGCTCCCTGGCACCGCTCAGCTGCTTGTCTTAGAGCCTTTGAGGGAACGTGCCCAAGGCGGAATCCACAGGCCTCCACACGCCCACGGAGCCTGGGCGTCCCCTACAGCACACCCATCCTGCCTGGCTTTCCCAGTCTGTCCACTATCTGCCTCCCTGACAGCAAGCTCCGAGGGACAGAGCCGTAGCCCCCCCGCTTGTCACCAAGGCCTCAAACAGTGCCCAGAGCTTACTCCATGCTCGGTAATATTGCCGAATACGTGAACGAACAAAAGCTGAAGGCGGACCAAGTACCGTCTGTACCCCAGCAGGGAGGGGAGGACAGGCCCCAGCTCAAGCCCCCGGCCCCACACTGGTAAGCCTGGCCTCCCTCCAGAAGACCAGCTGTCCCGGGTGACAGCCCAAGGCTCCAGGCTCCGAGACGGTCTGACGGGAACTCACCCACGTAATAGGAAAGGGTGCGCTTGAGCCGGTCGAAGACAAACCAGCGCTTCTTCCATGATTTAATCTTGCCGCCCATCTTGACCAAGTAGCCGCGGCAGACCTGGCAAGAAGCAGGAGTGAGGAAGGACCCGGAGGCGTAGCCCCCAGAACTCTCCTCCCGGAGCGGCACTATAAAAGCCGTCTCCTGTGCCTGGATTTTCGGGGGACTGTGGCCCACACCGCTTCGGGCCAGCACACCAGGTCCCAGGACAGAGACCACTAGTGTTAGGGCAGGAACTGGGGCCACTATTCCGAAGGCCCAGGAGGTGCCCAGACTACAGGGTCCTCTCCCCAGCACCCCGGGGCCACACAAGGCCTTGCACCTTGCTGCTGAGCACCACGTGCAGGCAGGTATCGACGCCGTGGCCCGATGACTCAATGTGGGTCTTCAGGTCGAAGTCCTCCTTCCGAATTGGAAGGTAGCGGGTCAGAGGCCGTGCCTGGGGACAGAGGGCAGCGTCAGCAGTCTCCTCTCTTCCCCAAGTCAGTCCCCTGTCCAGGTCCCTTGGCTTCAGTCCCGAACCCCCACTGCTGCCATCGGTCCCTCCCCCACCCCGGGGCTGTCACTCTGGTTTCCGAGCGCTTGTGGCAAAAGCAAAGACCTAGCGGGCCTGCACTGATGCAACCCCGGCCTGGGCAAACTGCTGAGTGGCTCCATGCCTCAGTTTCCCCACCTAGGACCAAGACACAGCCATCCCTGTCTTGTCCCTGTCCCTGGTCTCCCTCCTGAGCTGAATGGAATAAAGCAAGAGGCCAGAGGTGGGCAGGCTCTGGGAAACAAAGCCCAATAAGCAATCTGGCCTATGACTTCTCATCGGACCATGTTTGGATCACATGGCCTCTCTGGGCCTCCCTTTCCTTACACGTAAAACAAGGGCTTTGAACTAGATCATCACTAAGATCTGCTCCATCTCAAAAATCCTGATACCAACTAGACCTTTTCTCCTACTCTCCCTCTACGTTAGAATGGCCGGAAAAGGAAACATCATAAATTAGAGAAAAAAACGAAACGCACAACTTCCGGGAGGTATCCCGAAGACGGGCTGGCACACCCCCTCCTACAGCAGACACCGGTGCCCCTGCAGCGACACCTGAGCCCCAGGGCAGGGGGTTGTAGGGGAGAGAGATGCAAAGTGGCCACGGACTGGGGCAGGAAAGGGCACCTGGACTCCTGACGGAGATGCCAAGCATGGAGGTAAAACTCAAGAGTTTCTGATTATTTTTTTATTTCTATTTTTTTGAGAGAGAGCAAAAGAGTGAGCGTGAGCGGGCAGAAGCAGAGGGAGAATCCCAAGCAGGCTCCACACTCAGGGCAGAGCCCGATGTGGGGCTCGATCTCATGACCCCGAGATCACGACCTGAGCTGAAATTGCGAGTCAGACGCTTAACTGACGGAGCCACCCAGGCGCCCCCTGGTTATTTCTTAATTCCCAAACCCAATCCAGGTGGCCTACCCCTTAGAATTCATGCTGTTGCCTCACGGGACATCAGGGACCTGTGCTCGCTGGTCACTGCTGGGGAAGATCCCACAGGACCCCCACCCTGGGGGGGGGGCTTTCTAAGACTCAGCAGGAAGGACTAGCCTGAGTCCCATAGGCTCTCACATGGGGAGGGGGGCAGGATCTGACACGAGAGACATGGGTGGAGCTCCCTATACAACCTAACTTCTCCTTCCACCTTCAATTGTTCTGCTTAAATCTGTGTAAAGAAAAAGCTCAGGGGCGCCTGGGTGGCTCAGTTGTTAAG